CGAAAGAATCCCTATACCAACTTTCATTCCTTATTTAACACCCTGTACGTAATAATTTTTAAAATTTTATTAATTATTCTTCTATTCTGGACGATACTGAATCCAAAAAATCATTGATCATTAAAATCTGTCCAGCCGTTCTTGAGTTATAAACGCTGTAACTAACCAGATTTTGTTTTATACATAGATTGTTTGCTTTATGTCAAAGTAAAGCCGTAAAAGTAATTTTCTGTAACCGCAAATTTAATTGTAAAACATTAGTGTTTTTTCCACCGCTGTAAAAATCAGTTCAATATAATCAGCGCCGACGTGCTTCACTTAAATTGTCAGAACGGATAATAAAGATAAAAAATAATAACGACGCGAAAACACAAGGACGCCATAAACCACCGGCGTCGCCACATCTCGTCGCCCTCTCTCTGCGTTTCTCATGTTTCTCCCCCGCCATTATTCACACGTTTGCCTTTGTTGTACCTTTTTTTTTTGCACCACGTAAAATATTTCGTTCGTCCATCACCATTTGCCGCTCTTATCCGTCTCGCCAAGAGCAAACGCCTTCGATTAATACGCTCTTTATCAACCGAAAGTCAATTGTCTATGCTTTTAACTATGAGTATGTGTTTTGATGTCGTTTCGATTCAATTGGAGACGCAAGCCAAGATGGCGGCGGCGTGAAGTGTCGCGCGAGAAACTTTTTCAATCTGTGCGCGACTCGTGGATGTTTTTTTAGCGCGCGACGTGTTAGCCGGGCTTAAGAAGACAGAAGAAAAGTAATTTCCTATACGCACGTAACTTGAGCAACTCCGTCAATGGCATTAACTCGGCTCGGCTTTCGGTGCGAGCGCTAACCACGAAGGCGAAGCGAACGAAAACTTAAGCACAGTGTCTCTTTGTGCTCTTCGCTGTCGTTTTGTCGACTTGTTTAAGTTTGCATTTAATACGCTGCGGTACGCTGTGTTGCGTTTAACTAGCTGAAATTACAATTTGAATTTGCCAGGTGGAATTTGAAGTTTCATTGTGAATTAGAAATTGCTTCGGCTTCATTGTGTGTGCTTTGTAACGCGTTTCTCTGGCTTTGACAATTTCTCCTAGGAGAATATAGTAGGAGAAGCAGTTAGCGATTACATACGAGTTGCGAGGACAATTTCGATTCCAAAATTAATGAAGCAATACGAGAAGAACGATGATTAGACGGCTCGGCGGTGTTGCACAATGGGTTTCCGGCTTCCATTGCGTCCGCAGCAATTGCATTTTAATGAAAACGATTTTTTTTCGTTTTGGGGAAAATAATAAATGTCACGTAGGAAAATAAATGATGATGAGTTTAAAATAATAAAAAAAAAATGAAAGATGTAAAAGTAAACACGTCCTAATGAGCATTCTTTGAGGCGCAGTTTTTATATAACAAGCTTCCAGGATGCACGATTGGATCGCGAACAAAGCTGAACTGTCTGGAAAATGCGCGGCGAAGAGAAAATGCAGCCGGGAAGACAGAGAAAATGGGCGGGGCAACAGCGTCGCATGTCTACTGAGGCATAAAGCAGAGATAAATCTATACATAGAACACCCTTTAGATCAATAAAGATTCTCTTTGCCAAAGTAATTCCTGTGAGGTAAAGTTGGTTACAACGAAGACTAAAATTCACTTTAATACAACACATTTAGGAATCACAAAAAAATGACAAAGAAGTTGAACCGATTTGATAAATTTTTGTTTTGAAATATTTGCAGAAGTCTAAGAAAAGTACAAAAGATGAGAAAGATTTTTTTTCACACAAACTAATCTTGGCTGTCGGTTACGTTCAGAAATTAATTTTGCGACAAAATTTATTACGAGAAATTTAAAATTCATTTTTTTTGGCTCTCAGGCTACTTTTTAATACAAAATATGAGTTTTTCTACTTCCACCTTAAAAATGTCAGTTTTTTCACGGTTTTTTAACACTAAATGTACTTTAGTCACGGGCTTTAATCACGGGGTGAAGCATGCCCCCCACAATATGTTTAAATTAAAATTGACAATCTTCCGGGAGCTGGGGCACATAAAATTTCCTAGATCTAAGAAAGTAATTAGTTTTGCATATAATTTAAGAATCTGTTTGAAATTAAATTATAATCTAGCCGGAAAATTGCATGTCTACCATTACTTTTGCCACGCGCAAAAATAACCTGACATTGAAATGCATTTTCCTGATTTGTCTGAGCTCTTGCACCGCTGCCATTTGTGGCTGAATGAAGCCGTCCCACATCTCGGCGGCCGCAGCCGCTACCACCGCCGGCGGCGTGCACACGTGGCTGACATTATACAATCGGATGCACTTTCAAGGAAAATTAATAGAGCGCACTAATATTCGAAGCAGGCACGCTACGTTGACTCACTTGGCGGTTATGGTCGGTCGTAAACTCTCATAAACACCACGCAGACACGCGATGCAGACGTATGATAATAAAGGATCTTGTTATGCCGTTATGTTTACTACATATGAAATGTCCTTTACCTTTAACGCCAGTATAATTTATCGCAACGAGTGAAAAATCACCACTAAATTGTTTGCGCGTATTTTAAGGTTTGTGTCGATTTAGTTAAGCGAGCGAAAATCGTCGCCTTTGTAAGAATTACGAATGCCCATGGGAGGACTTAAAAGGAAGCATTCAATGGCGTGAAATGTTGCGTCAATAAGAGACTGATTTCGGGGGGACAATGGTTTACACTTCATTAAACTTTTCCGAACCTTTATTTGGTCACTTTTCGGCCAAATTTAGTAAAATCAATTTTCATGCGATATTTTTCTGTTTGGATGCATTAAAAGAGGAAAAATATAAAGTTTGTAGTTTCTGGACGCAGGGGAGCAGATGTGTTGTGTATCTGGAAGAGCTACAAGTTACAAGTCACGCAGCGCACCTTATTTATTATTATTATTTGCCGAGAGGTCGACCCTAGTTGATTTCGCCCGAGTCCCTACGGACACTGAAGTCCATACGCACGACCGAACAGCGCAAAATTCAGCCTCGAAACTAAAACCGAACCAACGCGAAATATCACATCTCTCTCAACGCACTGGGCTAGTTATCACAAGAGACAAATTCATGGAACTACGGATCTGGGAACATTGCGCCGCAGGCACGTTTCGTTTTTTTACAAGCCAGCAACAGTTTCTTTGGATTGAAAATCTGTACATCCAACATCTCGCCGTCCCAAAAGTCTTAGTACAAATCATGACTGCGTTTTTTTTCGGCTCTATTTCAGCCAGGGTTAGGAAATGCGAACGACAATAATAAGAAACAGAAATTTCCTCTCCTAAACAAAACGCGCGCGCGAGATGAAAAGCAAGACGCGCCGGCGACGCCGAGCGCAAAATGGAAATCTAGATGAAATGAAGACGAAGGGTATATATTGTTGTACAAGGCCGTTTGCATCGTTTTTCATTCTTCAGACACGGACCATTGTGCTCGAGCTACGGCGCTACGGCGCGGTTACAATGCGCCGGAATGAAACAAGTTGTTTGGGGACCGATCCCAGCAGCACAACATCAGCAATATCTGCAATAGCAGAGCAGTCGGCCGGCGCGCGTGGTGAGCATGTTTCAGATAAATATGTTGCAAATTCTTCCGAGGGTACAATGTCACTGTTCAGTGGGTTATTGTAATGGCGTCAGTTGATATGACAGACAGAAAGATAACCTCAAATGTGATAAATAACCGCAAAAACTTAAAAAATATAAAAAATGTTTTTTTCTTATAAAACAGCCTATATTAATTATGTCTGGAAGTCTGGAAGGAATAATAACTAAGGTTAGGATTAAAATTCGTGTGCATCAAGAGCAAATTCAATTAAGAGGCTATTTTCATCCACGGCTTTGTATTCTACGCTTAATTATAATTGCAGTCATTATTATTTCATCAGTAAATTATTATTTGTGGTTAATATGACGAAAATGACGCAGCACCTTCCAGAGTGCTTGCTAATCCCTCGTCGAAAGATAAATTAATCCTTTGGATGCTAATGTTTATCGTAACATTTTCGATTGCTGATTGCTGAACCCATGTCAAAATTCCTCTCGAACGCAAACAAACAGGAAATGGTGAATTAACACCCTTCTCCCAACGTCCGCACTCATTTGATCTTCCACTATTGATTATAGTGAGGAATTGATTGTTTGTTTGCATGGGTCTCAAATTAAACACTAACTATTGCAATTATAATCTCTAAAATGTGCTTTCTTTGTTTTAGGTGCTATTGAGTTGAGTTCGCTGGAGTAGTGACAATTCCGATGCAGGAGTATTGTTCAGAATGTCGGTGAGTAGAGTTGGCAGTTGAATAGTTGCGCATATGTGTAACGTATGTAAGTACCTGGCACGAAAATGAAGTGCAGGACAATAATCTTAACAGCACTTCAGTGAAACCAGCGACACACTAAAAGCGCAAGAGAGTGTGAACTGAAGGGCGCTGGCTTACAACCAACATATCATCTCTTGTATTTCTCTTTGCGCTGCTACGGCCGTCATGAGAACATTTCTGCAGCTAACTAGCACACTAGTCTCCACGGTTCTTTGTGTTTAATGACGCCTTTGTTCTCAAAAGTTGAGTTTTTGTTCTCAAAATGATTGGGCAAAAATATGCTGGTAATTATTTTGCTTGTATTTTTAGTTTATTATTGAAAACGTTTTTTGCGTTAATAGACGATGACAAATATGCAATTTTTTGTGATTGTCTATTACTGGCAAGTGATGTTGAAGCTGCGAAAATGTCCCACATGATGTATTAATACATTACTATAATACTATTATAGTACCTTTCAAAGGGCTTTAAACTAAAAATTATATTTCAATGTTAGATGATATGCAACCAAGTTTACACATAGGCCAAGTGTATTTGGTGATAAAAACATTTTTATTATTACTTTTGCGTGAATGAATTCTTTGTTAATAAATGATAAATAACAGAAATGCAATTAATCCACAAAACAAGTTTATCACATAAACAATTATGTACCACATCAATGTTTTGAAAAGGTGATGATTTTATTGCTCGACTCACAATTTTCAACGTTTTGATTTCGTTCCAAATTTCATGCACACCATTATTCATATTTTTATATAATTTTCAATATCGGATAACAATTATTATTTAATAGTATTAACACATACATATAATGTGACTGTAGATACTTTACATCATAACAATATAATTATTTAATCATTTCAATTTTTGTAACTGCTTCGTTTAGTGGTGTGAATTATCCTAGAGTGGGCTTAATTAACGCAACGCGGCATCGCGTCCGAAAGTGCTTATTGTCATAAATATTATTACAACAATTCAATTACACAGTTACACTTCTTACATCATATATGCATTATCTCTAAACGTTACAACTAAGAAGTGAATGCGTCCGATAATGTTTCACACGTCATTCAAATCGATTAAATTCATAAATAAAAACACGCAACATTTATAGTGTTGTCCACATATAAACAAATTTCAATACGGAACACAGATCTTATTTGTAACGTTTCCAACCGAATAAAATACATAATTTAAATTATCTTACATATTGACTGAATTTTCATAGTTTGTTTAGATTCAATACTTGACACTTACTATACTCATTTCAATTTCATGTCTGGTTACTTTTACGTTCAACCCACATCTCAAGTTGCTTACATTAACATAATTTGGAATAAACTTATGCAATAACGGCTTCGCAGCTAGAAAGCGATCTGGGTTTCGGACAAGTGTGCACTTAGGGACATTTCCAAATTGAACATTGATAGTTTAATTTGTCAGCGGGCTAGAGGGACGCGATCCCACGGTGAAATCTTTATATTGTGAAAATACACAAATCTGCAACAACATTGGAACAAGCATAAAGTAAATAAAGAGTGTTGCATTGTGTAAATTTACTTACTTTATCTTTTATCTGTTGGCAAAGTTGTAATCCAACAGTGAACAGCATTAACACCTCATTCAACCAAGGCACTGAACATTCCGCGTGCGTCATGTCAAATTTCATCTGGCCGTGATTGTTGCTCAGTTGATAAACAGCAAAGATGAGTTTGTGACTTTGCAGATAGAAGCTTATTGCCAAGTCTTCTGGTAGATTCGGTGACAAAGATTTCTAACAAACATATATAAAAGTCTTATAAATTAAGATAATATTTATTATCAAATTGGTAAAATTACCATATTTCTGCTTTTCATTAAATCATCAATGGCTTTCTTTCTTGGCACTATTAAACTAGTCCTGCCCCTCTGTAAACTACCTAATATGTTGCCTAAAATATGTAACACTTCATCAGATGACCTGAAAACCAAGCATAGAGTAAATATGATGTTTTTAAACTGATTTGTTGATTGAAACTTACTTAAATTTGTAATGTTTGGGCACATCATCAATGTGATGAATGGCCTGCTGCAGATGATTGGCGGCATCCTGCACCTGCTGCAGTTTCCACGGATTATCCGTCTGAATCGCCGTTCGAAACGAGGTGTTCTGTTGGCGTTGCACGCGAAATGTGATGTCAGCATGTGTAATGCTATCGCCGGTTAGGGTGACTGCACATTTAAGCTGCTCAGCTGGCACTGACAATACAAACTTGTCCTGATTTTGAGAATTATCATGTCCATATAAATACACGGGAAATCTTCTGGCACATTCCTTTAAAGAATAATAATTATATGTAGTATAATATAAATTTGTATGTCAAAATACATACCACAAGTATTTGGTGAATTTGATGAAGAGCTGTGTGTACTTCCTGATGTAGGACCCACTCAAACTCGCGTTGCTACACAGAATAATTGCAAACAATGTATTGAATAAATTGAATCAATAAACACAAACATAAATTGATTATTAGGCTACATAACCTGCTGAGGCGTTTGGTGGAACTTACAAGATTCAGCGCTTCTTCCTTCTCGCACTCGGACATTTTGCTGTGGGCGTCGATTACACGCGGATTATTGTCGTTTAACGATAATGTTTCGTTGCTTTTCGTTGATGAACAAATGCGCCCACAAATGGAAACAACTCAGCACCAGTCACGAGCCATAACAAATGAAAGACTGACTGAGACCAGCTGACTTTCAGTTGTTTCACACGTTGTGCGCTTGTGTATGAGAAAATGTCAAATATGTACGGTTTCTTCACGCATTTAATCAAAAAGCGATATCGAGCAATAAAGATCGATGTGTGCATTGATTTCATTCGGTCTATAATAGCAAAACAATAATTATAGCTGCAAAACTTAGCGTATAACTTTTTAAGTTAATTTATTTTACTATAGGCAACCCAACGTATTTTGGAAATATATGTTTGGTTCCATCAGCTGTTATTTATCAAAATTTGTAAATAGTAAACATTTAAATAAACAAAACTACTTAAAATAATGTATAGTTCAATTAATTTAAATAATATAAAGTATTTAAGCAGGGTATATTCTTCATTTATACCTAAACACAAACCAGTTGAAGATAAAGATGTACAATTGTTAAAAGATTTTATTTTTTCTTCTGTGAACTTAGTTGCTTTAACAGGAGCAGGCATTTCTACAGAATCAGGTATCTATTTTAAATCCAAATAATTTGAAGTACTCTAATTATTTAAATTTTTCAGGAATACCAGACTATAGATCAGAAGGTGTTGGTCTCTATGCTCGGACAAACCACAAACCAATTCAATACCAAGAATTTATAAAACATCCACACACTAGGCAAAGATATTGGGCTAGAAATTTTGTTGGGTGGGAACGTTTCTCTAGTGTGCAGCCAAATGACACCCATAAAATCCTCCAACATCTTGAGGAGGAAGGTCCATTGAGTTGTGTAATCACTCAGAATGTTGATAATCTGCACCAGAAGGCAGGCAGTCAGAATGTGATCACTCTGCATGGGAGTGCATTTACTGTGATATGTACAAATTGCAACACTAAAGTAGATCGGTATAAAGTACAAGAAGAATTGAAGATTGATAATCCTATGGCTTTTGAGAATATTGCAACAATGATTAGACCAGATGGAGATGTTGAGATACCTTTGGTAAATATAATTAATTTAAATTAATTAATTTAAATTACATTACTGCTTTGATTTATAATCCTATACAATGGAATACTTTAAGTACATTTCAATGCTTTCTTGGATTTCTTGGAAATGGAACACTAATTTCATATTATTTTAGGAGTTTGTTGAAAAGTTTAAAACTCCAAAATGCAAAACATGTCATTATGATTTAAAACCAGACATTGTGTTCTTTGGCGACAATGTACCTAAAGCAATTGTGCACCAAGTTGAGCAGACAGTACATAATTGTGATTCGTTACTCGTGCTTGGGTCGAGTTTACAGGTATTCTCTAGTTATAGGATAATTTTGCAGGCCTTGGATGAATGTAAAAATATTTGTATAGTGAATATTGGCCCAACCCGGGCTGATAAATTGATTGATTTTAAAATTTCTGCCAAGTGCAGTGAAATTCTAGCAAAGGTTCTACTTTAAAATGATTGCTGTGTATATTGACTTATGTAATAAGATTTTTTTGGGTTTATTTTATGATTTGCTTAGGATGAGTGATAATAAAATATTAATAAAAAAATTCTCTTTATATTGAAACAGTAATTAATCAATAATGCTTATGAACTCGCTCTCTTTAACAAACATTTGAGCTGTTGTGCGCAGACAGCTTTATGATGCGTCTCTTGTTTACTTTTAAAATGATCTCTAGATGTCGCTAGGATGCGCATTTTTACTAAAAGTTTTGGTGTTCGATGTGGCGTGATTTCGCACGAGTCCGCGCTATATCTCTTATCTCTGCGCACATTCTAGCAATGTAAACAAACAACATCTACGCTGTATTTACCTGTGTGCATTTGTGTATGTGTCACCTTTTTTCATCACAAACCGCATTGCATAGCACACGAACTGCAATCTTCAGTTGAGTTCGATCTGTCCTTCTCGCAAGTTGGCCTCGGCCACGTTCGGTGATTGCATTTTATTCTGTTAACAATTGAAAATATTTAATCTGTAAGAATCGTGCGTCGTGATTTGATAAGATTGTGTGTCTGTGCATGTACGGAAATCAAAAGGAATTCTATCTGTGCGGAGTGATGAACTGTTGTTCTTCGGCTGCCGGAACCAATTCAACATCAGTTTTGCACTCAATTTTAGAACAAGTACGTAACTTCATTTATTTATGTTGATAATTGCATTACAAATGTTTTTATGGCAATGCAAGACTTATACGACGTCTAACTGGGCAAATCGACTTTACACAGTGTTGATGCAAAATGATCTTACTCTCTTTTTTTGTTTCAGCACTTGCATTTGATGTGCGGTATGCCATATGCTGGTAAGTTAATAATTTATATTTGCATGTCACTAAAATACGCACGTAGAACATCCAAATTAGAGTAGTATTCGTTTCTTTCTCTGCTGGTTATCAGTACTTGTATATAAACAACTTTTTTTGCTGCGTTCAACTCTCGCTCTTGGCGCGCGCGCTTGCAGAATTCACGACATGCATTCGAGTCGTGTTTTTTAATTAAATTCATTTCGAACTTCACGATATTTTATGTTTGTAATCAATTAATACCCAAAAATTCAAAGGTATCTTAAAAACCCCCCTTAAACTTTGTCGATATTTACGTTCGTCAGAACGTATCATGGAAATTTGCCACTATATCGTAAATTATTTAAAATATTAGCGTGTTTTCTTAAAATTTATATAGCGCAAAATAGTCTTAAAAATTCTTTCAATTTTAAATAGCATTCTATTTACATTGCGACGTAAAGTAAATGTCTTAAAACTGCCCTCAAACTTATACGAGTTTTGTGAATTTTCGAAACACGCGGTGAAAATTCGGCTGTATCTCGTGAAACGTTCATGCGATTTTAGTGATTCTTTCAAATTTATATAGCGCGTGAGGTATTCTATACAGGGCCGATGAGAGGGTGAGTCAACTGGGGTAAATTCCCCGGGACCCGGCTGATCGCTGTTAAATCGCAAACACAAAAGAATGAACAAAAATGCACAATTAGGAGATATTCGCAATTCAAAAAAGGGCAAAAAAACAAAAATTGCTTTTAGTCACGTACTTGGTCCTTTTATCCCATGAAATTAAATTATTTAAATTCTTATCTAATGCAGAATTTTCCAATCTTTCATAACTTTCAATCCGTTGGTCGAATTCACCTTTAGTTTAAAAGATATGCACTATTATCGTTCATTGACTCGAATATGTCAAGAACGGTGATTTTTTCTTGTTTATTTAGTTATATTGCAATTAATCGCAATTGTATAGTTGAGTACCGTATGAGGGTAGCGGTAGAAGTGACTCGTGTTTAGAGCATCGTACAAGGGCAGAAGTGACTCGTGTTCAGGGCACCGTACAAGGGCAGCGGTCGAAGGAAAATCGAACGAAAGTTGAAAATGTCTACTTTTTAGTACTTTTAAATACGATTTCAGAACCTTTACACCTCGAATTTTAATTATATTCTAGTCTTATCTTATAGGGAATTTTCCAAAATTTCATAATCTTTGATTGGTTGGTCGCTAGCGCTTTTAATTTAAAAAATATTCGCTACTGAAAATCCTCGATATCTAAGGTCGCGTGCCATCGACTCACCGCATTGCGTATCTATTGCTTTTACCTGCCGGGTTAATGCAGCAGGTGCAGTCTTATTTTGAATTGTCGCTTTGTAAATTCTATTCAAAGATGGCACTAGCATGAACTAAAAATCATAAAATAGAATTGTACTCGTTTTGAATCATATCAGCGTTTGTGTATAAACCACTTTCTTATCGCATCCGCCGTGCGAGATGCTACGCGTAAGATTCTCGTTGCGCTGTCGCATGCAGCACATTTTAGTTTAGTTCTTATCACAGGTACTGTGTCTATTGCAATTCGTGCACAAGTTCGCGTGCCGTCGACGCGCATCCGGCATTGCGCATCTATTGCAATTCGCGCACAAGGTCGCGTGGCATCGACGCACTGGCTTTGCGCATCTATTACTTTTACCTGCCGGGTTTATGCAGCAGGCACAGAGTCTTATTGTGAACGTTGTGATCTGTCGCATCCTTGTGTGCGCAGTTTCAGCAAGCACCGAAGCATTCCAGCGACGCGTGTCGTTCGATCGGACTTCTATTTTCTAAATTTGCATTTCGAATATGTTCGGTCATCAATCGACTTAGTTGTAACATGCATCTGCAGTGTTATGTTAGTGATTAATTGTGCGTTTATGTTCATAAAAGTTTTTTTTTTTGCTTGGTTTTGATGTTCATTTTTCACATTAAAGGATTGCTGCGGTTTCGTTGTCGGTTGCTGTGTGACTTTATCGGTCAATCGGATCCTGCCATATTGTTTTCCGTTATTAGGAAGTTCTTTCGTGTTTGAGTAAGTAACTTTTATCTGGCCATTTCGAATGTTTGTTTTTCTCCGATGTGTGAATATAATATTATTGACGTGATAACGTCTTTAAAATCGTTTTACGGGTGACCGGTTGAGAAACATTGTGTCACGAGCGAGGTCGATCGCAGGTATACCCCCCTCTCGTTATAACGAGAGAGAGACGGACCGATCTCCCGTCTCATCTCGAGCGCTGCCAGTCATTCCGACC